GGAGTAAAATCTTGTGACATGCCCACGTGACACATCAATTTCATGATCTTCATTGGGCCAAGACTGTTGTGACCCAGGCTGAATGGGAGGCTCTTGGGAAGTCATTCACCCAAGTGAGGTAAGTGAGCTTCCAGGGCACCGGGGCCGGGTCAGCGAATCACCTGTTCCTAGGGAGCTGGTGGGGACCCCAACGTCTGGGCAGAACCCATGTCCTGAGTGGTGCACGTGGCACTCTTGCTCACCTTGTCCCCGCTATGTCCTGCTCCATCAACACCAGCCAGCATCGTCCCGCCCTGCAGAGGCTGCAGGGAGGTGGCCCTGCCAAGTTCTCCCTCTGCGTGCTCCTGGAGGAGAGCTGCCTGGCCTGCTCCTCTTCCAGTTCCGTCTTGGGGTTTTGTCTCCTCGGTGAGCAGCACACAGGCCCACGCGCTGCCCAATGCTGCACTTTCAGGAATGTCCTCGTGGTGTCACTGGGTTGTCTTTATCTTCCCACGCCACACAACACAGCCCTAGTGTTGGCCCAGGTACCAGACAACACAGGTGAGCTGCCCACAAGGGGAAGAACTCCCGAGGCTCCTTTCTCTGACTGACAGTCGACAATCATGCAGGGCTGGGAGACGTTCACGGCCTGGCGCCAGGTGTGGAGAGCGCCCCAGCCAGGCGGCCCTCCCGCTGCCACCCTGGGCAGGGCTTCCCCGCGGCCTTACCACTGTGAGAAACTGTGCTCCTACCTCTGACTCTCCTCTCTAAAGGTGGCCTGACATCAGGTGCAAGGTCAAAATCGAGACTTTCAAGAAGCTTCATGAAGACACCATGCTCCTTTGGTTTACCCCTCAGCATTGCAAAAGCAAGCAAGTCTGATCCAAGGTCTCCAGCAGGTCACAGTGACCCCCTATAGCTGGGAAACCACCTTGGCTGGACCACCTGGTGGGATCCGCGGAGCAGGCGGCTCTTGTAGCTCGGGTACAGCAGCACATCCCAGCACGGCCGTTGGGGCTCACACACCTCTCTGCCTACATTTCCTCAGTGTGATGGAGACCTGGATTCCTCTCAAAATACCAAGCAAAGGCTCAAACCAGCAGGAGACTTCCAAAAATGGTACCATTGTGCCCAGAATCTCTGAGCACCTAAGCCTGGAGACCTCCCACAGCCAGGACGCTAACCAAAGCTAGACAGGCTGGGGCCCCATGCTGACCAAGGGCCTCGGCTCAGCCTGCTTATCTGGTGAGATCCCCACCTCTGCATTTCTCAGTGCTCACTAAACCCCTTGCACTGCCAATCCCCCGTGGCCAGTCAGAGGGCCCAGATTCAAATGGAACACACCAAGCTAAGACAGTGCTGTTGAGACCTCCTGAGACAAAACCCTGCCTCCAAAGACCTAGTGAGAAGGGTTTTTTGTTTGTCCCCACCAACCCAAACACACTTTCAACTGCATAAGCATGACAAGATAAACTGATTAGTTTTAGACATTCAGATCTGCTCTGCGCGCTACGGAGCACAAGGTGGGCCCGTGGCCTCTGTTCGCAGCATGCACACCAGCGGCGGAAGAGGCCCGGGGCTCGGGCCAGCAGCATGCAGAAGGGGAAGAGGCCAAGGCCCACGGCTGTGTGTCTGTACTCAAATATAGAGATTAAAAAATGCTAAAGAGAAAGAAAGAAAGGCGAGCACACAGCTGCCGTCCCCAAACAGACCTCCCATCTGCCACCCACGGTCTGCATGTCACCTTCTCCAGGCTCATTTGTACTTCATTAACTGCCATTGACTTAACAAGATTTATGCAAATGACACCGTAGGAGCTCCCCAACTCCCACTGCAATCAAGTGATTATGTATGTACAACTCTCCACAGCAATGAAAAATTAATACGTGACAAGCCCACTCGCCGCTGAGCCGGGCTCTGGCTTTTATTTGTCTTGCTTTGCTTTTTAATTTTTATTCGAATAGACCTCATCTTGTTAGGAAGTAAAGAAACAGAACTCTCTGAACCAGTCCCCTCCAAGGCCCCGGAAAGGACAGAACAATGAGAGGTGGGCTCCGGTCCAGGAGAAACGGAGGTAAGCCCCAGAAAGCCGGCCGGCTCCCATACTGGGGAGGAGCCTGGGCTCTCACACGAAGGAGTCTAGAGTTTAAGTGAAACGGGGTTAAAATTACCCACCGCGTACGTGCAACCTGTACAGACGTGGTCCATCTGTGGGGAGAGGAGGCGTGGCTCAGAACAGGGGCCCGGCCAAGCCCGGGGCATGACCACGACGCCTGGCCTGCTGAGCCCCCAGGGCTACCCCTCTGCCATCAGGCAAGAGAGCTGGTGGGCCTGAGGACAAGGTGTCCTGCTGATGGTGAGAAGGGCAGGAACACAAAGGTGACAGACGCAGAGAGGACTGAGGGGACGGCCATTCCCACCTGAGCGCACGGGTGAGGTGGGCTGCTGTAGGCAAGCCCTTGAAGCTCCTGTTGAGGTCAGGGCTCACACATTTGATTTCTAACCCAAAACTCTGCTTCCAGAGCTCTTTGCAGGCTTCTCATCACTTGGGCAGTGGGGAGGGCTACAGGTACTGGGCAGAGGGTCCTGTGGAAGGCGGGTCCCATGCTTCCCACTGCCTGGTCAGGGCACTTGCCCCCAGGGTCCCACTCAGCACACAGCATCGCAAGCCTCCAGCCTGGAGGCTGTAGGAGAGCGCTTCACTGACGGGCACTGTTCGACTGCTCAACAAACAGCTGCTGAGTTCTCATCTACGCTGGGTAGGTAGCGCCCCGTCCTCTCATTTCCACGTTGTTGAATTCATCACACTGGGCCTGAGGAACTCGGAGGCTCTCAAGTGATCTGTGCTCCTTTAGAAACACGGTGCATGCAGGCCGGTGCGATGAGCCCACAGGACCATCTACAGCCCGCAGCGTGCACGGGGGGTGCCTCTGACAGGGTGCTCTGGACACTGACTTCAAACTCCAGCGCTGCGGGAACGGGGGCATCCTTTGTGGAATCGGAGGATTCAGACAGCCTCCAGTGCCCCGATTTACAGAGGAGGAGTCTGAAGTCTGGGGCACCTGGACACCCAGAAGGAGCTAGTCTGTGTCTACACATCAGGGCACTGATGAGGGACAAGGAGCTCCCAGAGTCCAGTAGTCACCAGGAAACCAGACTGTCACTAGATTTCAGTGAGATGACGGTGAACATTCACGATCGAAAGGCTGCCACCGACTAGATTCGACTGTGTTACACTTGATGGTCGATACCAACCTGCACACAGAAGGGGAGCCCCGTCTGTGAGGATCCCCTCCACAGATGAGCAGGGTCAAGACTAAGTGAAGGCCCAAGCTCACTTGGGGCCTGGCTGACTGGCAGAGGGGCTCCTGCCCACCCAAGTCAACAGTGCACATGAACCAGGAACCGTGGAGATTTTCAATCTTCCCCACAGTCCATATCCTAGTGCCAGGTCTAGGGGTGAGAAGAAAACAGTGACCTTCCTGATTGTGAAACTCCTATAGCATAAATGTTATAGACCAGCATCACATGACGGAGAGTCAGGTTATAAATAAGGGAGCTGAAGGAAGAGACCACGTGCACGGACTGAAGGGTCCTAGCAAGCTGTGGGGGTCCCTGAGCTGACCCACACTGTCACCTGGTATGTGAACGTGTGTCCTGGACACAGGCACAATGGCCTTGGTCACCACATCCAGACTGTCCTTCTCCCCACCTGGCAACTCATGGGCAGAGCCTGGTGCAAGGAGAAAGATGGGGGCACAGGCCCACTCAGTTCTGCAGCTGCTGAGGGGCTTTGCAACAGTCGTGGGCTTCTCAGGAGGCCCTGTGGACTCCTGGCCTCTGGTCTCATCCCAGGTGCTGTGGCCCTGCTTACCCCTTCCTCTCCCAGGTCAGCACTCTGGACTGCCCAGCCCCCACCAAAGCTGTACCCTGTTTGTTCCAAATGAGTGAAAGCTATTATTGCCGAAATGGTCCAGTTGTATTTTAGGAAAGACTCTGTCCCTCTTTAAGAGTGGCCAGTGCCCAGGTGCATTCCTAAAGGAGAAATAAATCCAAGTCCCTACAGATGAGGAGAGGGCATAGGCGATATCAACCAGAGGGCCAGAGCGGACAAGCAGTGTCCACTGGAGGCAGAACTATCATCCTGCCCACAGATTTCTTTTTCTCCTTGAGCAGAGCACACTAAATCAGTTGGCTTCCTTTAACAAACTAAAAGACGGCACTCCCAGAAGCCTCTGTGTGGGGCTGAACTCTATTCTCATTCTCCCTGGAAATAAAATGGCAAAACACACGTCACACGTGAATTCCAGTGCTTTTTACTTGCGACAAAGTGATTTAGCACTGGTTTCTGGGCTGATGGAAACCTATTTCAGGCGAGCAGCACAGGCCAAAACAAATGCTTGAATTCAAGTCCTGTTGTGTAATGAGGAAGTTTAATTAAGGCCCCACATTACAGCTGTAAATGTTCCTTTATATAATAAGGTCTAAATGAAACTGAACCTAATCAAAGTTACAATTCCTTCATTAGCAAATTACAAACAAGCGTGCACAGCTGACGCGCCGGCGAGGATTATCACAACTAATTGCCTCGTTGTCACAGGCCAGCCTGAAACAGCGTTCAGATGTCCGTCTGCGAGAGCAAATTAGGGCCACGTCGGGCTATTCCTGTGATCACAAGGGGCTCTTGTACAGCGATCTGATTTACCCGTGTCGCCTGGCGGCCAGCAGCCCAATCAAAGGCACGCTACAAAGGCAGCCTGTGAAGCCGGCCCTGCCTGGATGGGCCCTCCATATGTAGTGGGCACGCGGCACTTCATTAGATCTGTTGTCACATTTCCCTCTTCTCATTCTAATGATCCCATTTTAATACTCCCAGGAACCTCTTCTAATTGATGTCAAGTGAGTGACTTCTACATTCATCAACACCACACATCAAACAAACCCTGGCACCCGAGCCAGCGTCCTCTCGGCCGACCCGAGGTGTGTCTCCGGCGACGGGCAGGGAGGGGGACGCTGCGTACCTGTTTAATTGGGATGGCTCGGCCGCTCCCGATGCTGTCGGCGCGGCTCTCCAAGCCTTTCTTCTCTTTGTCTGGGTCGCTCCCTTTCCGAGACTGCAAGGCAAAGGAAAGTTGGCATTTGGGTGAGGGCCGCAGCTCACACGCCCGCTCTTCCCCTGCCCGCACGCTTCTGACAACAGGGACCTGGAGGCCACATCTGGCACATGTGTGTGCACACACACATCCCAGAAACAGACCCGCAAGCACTTCATCTGCACTGACTCATCATTCCAGAGAATTTCCTAAACTTTCCCCCTGACTTTTTCATTAAAAAAGAATTAAAAGATAATTTTGCAAAGAGTTCAAAATTCAATTACTAGAAACCAATGGACCATCTAGGAAAGTAACGCCCAAGAAGAAAACACATTCCAGAGCTGCAGTTAACACAGCCAAGGAGAAAAGGGGCTCCTTGCTGCTTAGTCGGAAAACAGTCTGCATAAACGTATATATTTAATTAACGTCTGAATGATCTAAAAAATTCTATTAACTAGTCAGCTGAGCAATTTAAATGTGCACCCTTGATCAGCACCAAGGTGTGGGCGGTGTTGCCTTCTCTTGCTTCTGCGTGGGTAGAAAACAGTGATTTCAAAGTTAAACTAGTGTACCATACCATTGAAAATAATAAGGGGAAAATCCCAGGAACCTCCTCCCGACAAAACGCTGGTATTTGGGAAGAGCGAGCAGCTCTGTGGGTCTGCCTCATTCCGGAGCCAATTATCTCGAAGGGAGCGTGGACACTGCAGAGCTACCCGGGGGCTGGTGGCCAGTGGGGAGGGGGCCACATGTGACCAGGGAGCCACAACCTGAGGTGCACCTTAACTTGGCCAAGACCACAAGAGCGTCCCCATCCAAGTCCCCATCCACCGATGGCGCGAGAAAGGGCGAGCGCCGTGATTTTCTGACAGATTTATTTTATTATGAGAGAAAGATCTGAGACTCGTCCTCCTTAATAACTGTGCTGACAAGTGACAACTTCACTCCATTACTTTTCAATGGGAACATTACTCACGCAATATTGAAAATGGAGAAACATTTTCATGTGCTTTTCAAATCTGAAATGATATATGAAATGGAGAGACCCGGTGGTGTCCAGTGCAGCCGCGATGGTGATAAAACCCAGTTTCAAAGGCATGTGGGATGCTGCGGCCGGTGTTCTAAAACAATGTTAAAAGGGGTGACGGCACAGGACACGAGAAAGCCAGGCCGACGGGACGGGCTCGAGATCCCAGGAGAGGCTGCTGCCAGAATTAAGTGAGAAGACAGGGAGAGGGCCCCCGTGACACCAGGCAGCGCCGGCACCTCAAAGGGCGCTCATTAGAAAATGTGCTGCTTCTGTGACCACAGGGGCTCACCGTTACTGAACACCTACTATGTGTTTGGCAGTACGTGCCTTATTCCCTTTAGGATGTTAGAAAGCTGGAATGGGACGACAGGAAAACAGGAAGCAGCCGAGGAAGACACACAGGGTTTGCCCTCTGGGATAGAAGGAAGGAGAGGTGCTCACCAATTCCTCTTCAGGAATCACAGCTATGGTCTGGGGGTTTTCTTTTCTCTTTAATTAATTCTTAAATTAATAATGTGTAATGATCTCAGATTCTTTCTTCACATTTTAATTCATACAGAAGCTGGCACTTCAGGTTTCCAGTTGTAAGATGAATTTTAAAGCTTGCAGACAGAACATTTAAAACAATTCTAGGTTGACGTACAGCATTAACAGTACTTTGGGAATTTTACGAATTCTAAATTCCTAAATCTGGAAATCCATCTTCATTATTCTCTATTAAACAGAATAATTAACAAAACAAACATTTTAAAAAAATTAACATCTTCCTCAGGGCAGCACATCTGTCCCCATAGCCACTTCTGTTCTCAGAGCAGAATCTCCCGAGCAGGAGGAAACGGCTAACTGTATTGCCACGAACAGCTCAGAAACAAAACTAAATCCAACATCTGATCACACGCTCAGCTAGGAACTGGAACCTAGGAAGACCTCACTGCAAAAATCAAACCAAAATTTCCTGAAAACTAACATTCTGGTGAGAGTCATAAACCTAAATGCCAGCAAAGAGCTGGGCAAGCTGATGGTCAGAGGGCAGGCTGCATCTCAGGTCAACAATTACTCTGTCCACACAGGCTATATTAATGAAATTGAAATAAAAAACTAAATTCACTGGACAAAGAATGCTGCAGCCCACGTAAATCCCCAGCGAGGTCGTCTTCTTGTCCTGCAGACGGCATCCTCGGTCACGGCTGAGATGGCTCTGGGGATGTCAGACGCAGGGGTCCTTGGTACCCACCAGTTGTCGGAGAGCTGCGTCCAGCCTGCTGCACACTAGTGCGAGCATAACCAGGGTTTGTGTGCCTGGCTCAGAAGATGTGGAGACCCCGAGCGCTGAGAAAGGCCGCTTAGCTTCCACAAACGCTCACTGCAGGTCACCTGATGATCACTCGCTTCCTTACAAAGACGTTTCACTTCCCTCAGGTGAAAGACGCCAGGAAGAGACATGCCACCCATACCTGTGTACCTGGACAGAGCACTGCTGCAAGAGCCCTTCCTATCAAGGAGACACCACTCTCCCCTTCTCCCCAGCAAGGAAGGGCTGAGGAAGCACCTGTCACGGGCACCCAGGCTCTACAAAAACACAGCGTGCCATTCGGAACTGCCACCTGTATACAGGTTGCACGTCTTGTTCCCACAGTGAGTTCTGTGAGTTGTTTACTGTTTTGCACAGTCTTGGGACACAGGCATGCTTAGCTCTGGTTAATGACACTGACAGTACACAGCAAGCTTTTGAAATACCACATCAACAACACCATCGCTACAGTGTGAAAGGAGGCAGAGCAGCACAGCACACTGTGTGAGGACCAAGCTAGCTTAAAACGTGAACAGAGACAACACGCAAGGGATTCAGCAGGGCTGGTCCCTGGGAGGGAGGCAGGAGACCCCATCTGGGAGGCGTCCAAGGAGGGCTTCACCCTTCACTTGGGATTTACTTATTTCTTGACGCAGCAGCAGTGGTAGCAGCAGAAAAACGTTTGAATTTGGTGCGTCGGAAGGTGGTATGTGTGTATACTTTTTATTCTGCTATATTTGAAAACATTTTCAAATAAAATGTTTCAACCACAAGTAAGTTGGGGCTACTAAATTAATCACTATAAGAACCCATATTACAAAACCAGGGATGAAACAGTCTTTTAGTGTTTGTTTTCTCAAAACAATAATTTTTCAAAATGCTCAAAATATATTTTTACTCTTGATTACTAAAGTATAATTCCTACTATAAAGATCATACATAACTAGCTACTAATACAGAGAGTTTTAATTTGTACCATTTCATGTAAGGTACACATGATTTGTTTTTTAAAAAAGTAAATACATGCAAACAAAAACATCTAGGAGTAGAAAATGTTAGCCCAGCCTATTCATTACACGTCTACTTTACAAAATATGTAAGAATGGTATTTGAAAAAATGGTGTGTGTACTATTTAATTAACTCTGGCCTCTTTGTAATGCACTAATAAATAAGGTGGCTGTTGCCTCTTCACTTGCATATTATAAACCCAGATGCATGGATTTTTATTCACTAAGAGTGATCCCATATGGTACATGTGTCCTCCTTCTAGATACTTTTAAATAAATATACACTTTGACAATTAAGCCAAAAAAATGCCAAAGATCACCAGAGATGAACAGTCTACCGAATCTTACATTCTTAAGAATGTGAACAAACTGGCAGCAATAAGAATTTAGTTTCTTACTTCCCAAGATCTCAAAATTGATTTGCCTTCTCTTCATTCCTTGAATGACACTGACATCTAGTGGAGTTAATCTAAGATCTTCTACTTAAAAATACTCAGTACTTAGGCATCACCGCTATCGTCACCACCACCATTGTCACCACCACCATCACCACAATTGTGTCAACTGAAACCCAGTCAGGGACAGGCAGACCCTGCTGGGATTTCAGCCAACTTCATCTTGGCTTCTTTTCATGACCTCCCATTTCTGTTCTCCTTAATATAGTCGGGCAGCTGGGTTTGGTTACTACAACAGTGGTTCACTCTCAAATGGTCTTCCAACATTAGAAAGGAGGAGAATACACACGGACCCTGCACAGGCCACAGGCAGGCCGCGATCAGTCGTCCCCCGACTCAGTCCCCATGCAGGGTGGTTCTCTCTGGTTCCTGCACTGCCCACCCAGCCTGCACTCTGGCTCCCTGGCCTCCTGGATGCCCATGTGCACACGCGCTTCCTCGTGGTCTTGCGTCAGCTGCAAGCAGGCCCTTCTCCTGAATTCTGCTCTCTCCTTTCAGTGTGCGGAGCCCCTAGCTTCCCTCCAGACCCCTCCTCCTGAATGCAGCGGACTCTGGCACAAGCCCTCCTCCTGGACTCTGAGCAGAACCAGGGCTCTGCCGCGAGCGAGGCTAAGTCAATATTTATTAACTGGGTTATTATTTTGATTGTTCCCGTCTTAAAGTGCTCTCTATAGTCCACATGGATGATCGGTTACCCATTATAGGACAAGGTCCAAGACTCTATTTTCTGGCACAATCCAACTCCACAGCTACCCCTTTAGAGGATGGGACAAGAGTGTGCTGCTGATCTTCTTATAAGTAACTCTACTTTTTTGTTTGTTTGTTTTTTGTTGTTGGGGATCTAACCTAGGGGCGCTTCACCACTGAGCTACATCCCGACTCCTATCTATCTATCTATCTATCTATTTATTTATTTATTTATCTTGAGACAGGTTTCACTATTTGCTGACAGTCTCATTAAGTTGCTGAGGCTGGCCTTGAATTTGAGATCCGCCTGCCTCAGCCTCCAGAGCTGCTGGGATTACAGGCCTGTACCACCATGCCTGGGTAAGCAGCTCTATTTTTAAAGGCATTTCCTGGACTTTTATTTCTTTCACTGAATAAAAACCAAAGACAATGAGCAGCTAATGTGACCCTGGCGGGTGCCAGAGGCTATGTTCTCCCTCCCAGCTCCTAACAGGGGTGGCAGTGACAGACACAGAAGCTGTCTTGTCAGATGCATTCACCAGCCTGTTGAGTCCAGAGGGGATGTGCAGCCTGTCCTGTGGGGTGGCCACTTCTCTGGACAAGGCTCTGCCCTGGGAGAGCTGGGAGGGAGCCACTGGGGCGAGTGTCCCATTCGGTGTGCGCCCACGGACACTGAAGGCCCAGCAGAGGTTCCCTGCACTGAGACACACACTGCCTCCCCTCCAGCCAGCCATCTTACAGCTACTCCCACCTGACCCCATCAGAGGTCACATACGGAACATTAGTGGTAATGAGGGAACAGGGAAAGCAATGCCACAGGGCTCTTCTGCCCCACTGCACAAGTGCTACCTTCCCAGCTCAGAGAGGTTAAGTGATTTGCCTAAGTTCAAACAGCTGCCAGTCGGGGAGGCCAGGGCCTGGGCCTGCTCTCTCTGATCAGTCTGCACAGCAGCCTCTGCCAGAGCAGCATGGAACAAGGCAATCAGCAAGGAGCAGAGAGCAGTTAAGCGGTACTGTGCAGTCAGCAGACCTTGGCGATACTGACTGTCTCAGGGCGGGAGAGGGACGAGGCATCTACCAGACTTGGCCGGCACCCGTGGCATCAAGATGGGCATCATCAAGTAAGGGAGGCAGGTGAGATATGCACTCCCAGTTCCCGTGGGGGTATTCTCCTTCAGTTTAAGACAGGAAACACTAAACTTCTTTGTGTCTGAGTCAGCACCAACCAACTAAAAGGAGACAGGTGTGATCAGAGCACTGCCTGCAGGTGGGCTGAGCTTCCTCTGTAGGTGGGGCTGGCCTGTGAGAGTCAGGAAGTTCAGGAGCACCCGGGCTGCTACTCTCCACAGGTACCTTCAGCACCTGACCCATCCACCCCATTCCCATAGAGTGACAACCCCAAATCTCTGCAGAAGTTGCCAAAAGTCCTTCAGTTGCAGAAGTGCCCTGGCTGAGAACCCCTGGTTTAAAACCTGTCATGCACAGAGCTAGTCCAGGCGGGGAGAGTGCTCCTGCCCCGTCACATGCCAGCAGCTCTGCCTGGTGTTCTGGGCTCCACTGCAAGGCCTTCCAGGGTTGACTGGTGATGCCTGCTATGTGGGCAGGATGGGGGTGGGCAGGGCAGTGTTTGTGTCTCCTGTATTTCAGGAATTTCCTTATCTCAGTTGTCCCCAGAGCCACCCACAGGTCGGGGCCCCACCCGCGGACTCTGAGTTTCTAAATGTGAGCCTAAATACCTGATCTCCAGTTTTCAAACACTCCTAGATGACTCTCTGTGTGCTGTGAGCCCCCAGGGAGCCCAGGGCACATGGGGCTGAGAGCCAGCACTGCCCCAGCCCCGACCTGCACCCACCAAGGTAAGTCCTCAGACATGGAGAACAGGCTGGCTCCCATCTCCCATCTGAAGAAATGGGTGCATACCTTTGAGAGTGCCATACAGCTCTGTTTTGTGTAAGATGCAGACAGTGTCTCTCTAGAGACCATGAAATGCTTGTTACAAATCCAAGACACCAAGGCTCTCCATGCACACTGCTCTCCATGGAGAATTCCCATTCTACTCAGCGTCCAGACCTTGGCTTCCCACCGCTGTCTTAGATTTCCGGAGTCAATGCCATTCTCATTAACTTAGCTTGGATTCTACGACTATCACTCGACCACCAGACCACCACGCTAACAGGGACCCAGGCTCCTCGGTGTCACACTCAGGCCTCTCCCCAGGGCTGACACTCACGGTGAAGAGGTTGGACCGGCGCTTGGACTGCTTCCGCACAGGCGTGGGGGTGTTGGCAGTGGGAGGCACATCAATCCGCAGCTCCTTCTGGCTGGTGCTTGGGGTCGATGGGACAGAGGAGGAGTAGTCACTTAGGCTCCCGCCGCCATTACTTGTCTGCAATGATCAAAACCAAGGTTTCCTTAAGGACACACTCCTGGAACCTAAGGTCACCACCTCAGTGGGGTCGCAGTCACCCAGTTTTCAAGTCTTGTGGGGAGACACAGGTGAGCCAGGGCGGAAGGCAGCCTTCCGTGACTTTGCCAGCTGTGCGCAGCAAGCACACAAGGCCTCATTCTAGAAATCCACCATCTCAGAGTTGTTTTGTCTAAGAAAGTGACCAAAGGGAACAAAGCGTCTATCATTAAACTTGAGCATTTCAAACAGCTAAAATGTAAGCATTTCCCTTCCCTCTGGAAAGCAAAGAGGCTAGTTAAACTAATGGATTCCCCGTTCCGTCTCTGCTCTAGAACGGGAGCAGAGGGACCTGGTTTGCTCAGCAGAACCACAAGGAACATTCTGCAGATGACATCTGGAAATCGGGTGCTGCTGGAAGATGTTTCCAGGCTCGCAGGAAGTTAAAGACGCCAACAGTACGGCGTTGACATTCCTGAGTGAGCCTTCACAGCCCACAACAGAGACCACAGGAATGGACTGCCTTCCCGGGCACTGCACCCTCTGGACCCAAGGGCCAAGAGACCACCTAGCAAGAAAGGTTAATCACAAAACCAGTGCAGGCAAAATAAAGCGACAGTATCCTGAACAGGCTTCTGCAAGTTCTTCAAAGTGACAATTATTTCATTTGCTTCCAAGTAAATAATTTAGCAAAATGTTGTTGTGTAAAGAGAGCAGTTTCTAGAGGGCCCGGGGGAGGTGGCAATTATAAGGAATTGCGCTGCCAACTTGAGGCGTACAGTGGTTCACCCACAAGACTGACTGAGAACTGTTAACCTGCAAGCGGGCCAGGACCAAGACCAGAGCACGGTGGGTGCCTTAAATCAGCAGCGGACACACTCCTGGCGCTGCCCTGGGCCAGCGTGGCTCATAATGGATTCCAGGCAGCAGGAGACAGAGCACTTTCAGGAACGACCCCTAAACCCCAGCTGGCCACGGCAGTTTCTGAAGGGAACAGGGGTCAATCACAAACACACTGCTGTTATCTCCGCAGTTAGAACGAGCCAAGCCGACTTCTGCACTGACTGCAGCACTGTCTCCACGCTGTCCCTGGTCCCAGGTCCCCTCAGTCCCACTTCTCATCCCACCTGACATACCTGGCTGATGTGCACGGCAGACACCTGTGCAGAACAGACGGAGGAGTGGCTGGGAGAGTTGGGCAGGGACTTGCAGGGGCCGATGGACAGCTGCTGCTTCTTCCTTGTGGCAACAATCTTCTGGGCAACTGGTAGACACAGAGGCAAAAGAAATCATCCTGAAGCTGGTGTCCAAACACAACAGGCAGAGCCGACGAGCTGGGGACCCCAAAATCCGCAGGGCTTTCCCTCCTTCCACAGGACCTTCAGTTGGGCACCTGAACATTTCCCAGAGCTTCCCCCTGTGGCCAGCAAGCAAGCTCCGGGCAGTGGACCATGTGTCAGCTCCCAGGAAGCCACCTTCCTCCAGGGAGAGCTGCCCTCTGCCCATTGCTCCCTTGTGTCCTTTTCCTTCATCTGCCTGAATCGCAGAGATGTCTGTGGCCCCAGCAGCCTTCCTGGGCCATGAGGTGGTGCTGGAGATACAACCGACACTTAGTGAGGCTGGATACAGAAGGCACGGAGGGCTTCCGCCCCGGGCACACCCCCTCAGAGGACTCACGTGTGGAAACAAAAACACATACCCACAATGTGAAATTTGCCCTAAAATAACCATTTCCCAGTTAGTTGTAGCACTGATAAGCCTAACTGGAACAGGGAGATTTCCCTAAGGCCCTTGGAACCCCAAATCCTCCTGTTCCACTGCCTGAGGGATCACTCTTAACTCCACAGGCTCTGGTGGAGGCTGATACTCAAGCACAAGCAATTATATCCAAGCTCTTTTTTATTTAAACGTATCACCTCCACACTGGAAGTTTATCTTAATCAATACAAATCTGAATCCAACCAGCCATAACTTCTCTTGGCAAATAGGCTCGCTGATAAAGCATATTGGATTTAATTGGAAAGGAAGCCGACGGTTAGAAAGCCCTTCCTGCACTGAGGGGTGTCACTGCGGGAGGAGTCCCGGGGTTCATGTGGATGGATGTGGGCCTCGGGGAGTGGCTGCAACTGTGCTCAGTGCTACTGTCTTGGTCTGGATTGTTCCGGCCCCCAAAGGTGCCAAAGTGGAAGGAAGGACTCCTTGCCTTTCCCTGGCCCCTGGTGATGTCCTGGAAGCAGCCCACGTGCTGCCCACAGACCATGCTCACTGATGATTTCTTTTCCAAATGAACACAATTTTAATAAGGAACTGGTCTGTCCACAGCCTGTGGTTTTCGTGTGAATGAATGATAGTATAAATATGATTAAGTAAAAGTGCAATGAATAAAAAATGGTTCAGGAGACGAAGCAGCGGCTCCATTAGTTACATCCCCCTCCAATAGGCTTCTCATCAACCTGAAAGGATGGTATCAATTAATTTATCTTCCTGCAGTGTATCGAACATAACCTTCATCAGCTAATCATGTTTAAATTACAGAGGAATATCGCAGCACTCTGTCATTTCAAAACCATTGGCGTATTGATCAGGGGTCTTTGAAGACACATATTAGAATATTTTAAAAATCATTGCATGAACTCAAAAATGGAATCTAAGATCAGCTTCCAATAGCTGCGGAACGTGTGTCACACAGGTGTACTGAGATCCCAAAGACCTTAAAGCAAATTAGCCTGAAATCAAGGCTGCCTGGGTGAGTGCTGATCCTTATCCTTTTGGAACACAGCAAAAAGGGGCTTCTGGTACCAACTGCCCCACGTTCTGGTTCTCTGCCAGCCTCAGTGTGTGTCCGCTGTGTGACCACACAGGCCATAGAACACAGGAGCCACACATCGCCCGCAACAGGACCGGATGGGCCAGGAGAGCTTCGCAGACACTCTCCACACGTGTGTTTCACGCCAAGGCAACGTTAGAGACTTTCCAAGAGAAGTCAGAAATTTCACGAAAACCCTAATTCTATGGATCTCCAAATGGAAATGAATGTTGGGTCCTCTCTACAAACAGGCTAGAAAGAAGGCGTTGGTGATCAAAAAGAACGTTTCAAAACGATGTACAGAGCATGGGCCGTGTCCTGAGGACTAAAATCCTACTGTCCCTTTATTACTGCTCTACCACATTAACTGCAAAAGAAAAACAACAACGACAACAACAAACCAAACAAACAAACCACGAAGTCATAATCTGTAATGCCTGGTGTCTTTTTTTCTTTTTAATTTTACTACAATATTTCCCCATTTTAATTCCTTCCTACTCTCATACACAAATTAAAGAAAGAAAATGATTTACAAATACCTTGTCCTAAGACACAGAGGCTGCTTTAGAACCACAACGATCTGCCTAAGGAGGACATCACCAGGAGGCAAAGGCCCTCTGTGAACCTTCCGCACCTTTCCATCAGGAGGACGGAAATCCGCTACCGTGAAGACCTATGGCTCACACCGTGGATCTGCTAACCACAGCTCTGCTGCTTGCTTGATGTCCCACGGAGGGAGTGACATGTCTGGGGGCCCTGCTTAAAGACGCCCCTGAGGACTCTGGACAAAAGCTAACATGATAACTGCCACCCGACTGGCACTGTGGTCCAGGCCTCACACCATGGCACCAGTCTGGGCGGGGCGCAGGAGCCCCAACAGAAGAGGGGGTGGGGGGCATGCGGACTCCTCGCAGATCCAAGGAAAATCAAGGCCGGGGATGGAGGGTTCAGCGGGAGTGCACTTGCCTGGCATGTGTGAGGCACTGGGTTCAATTCTCACACAGCGTCTAAGTAACTGGAATAAAGGTCTACCAACAATTAAATACCCCCAAACCCCACATTTCAGGGGAGAGAGAAAGCAGATACATTTACAAGCTGCTGAAGGTGAACGTTCTGACCAACAAAGGGAGAAATGTGGAATGGTTCAGGTGTGAGGTGCCCTCCTAGAGTCCCCGTGAGACGGTGAGGAAGGCCTGGAGGGGACCTGCCTGGGTACGCGGCCTGAGCCCAGGCGCTGCACTGATGTCCCGGTGGGGACTCACTGCCGAGGACTGAAGGCAGGCGCGGTGGCTGGAGGAGGGGGCCTGGGGAGATGCCTCTGGGGGGCCTATTTTGTACCTGGTGAGTGGATGCTTGCTCTGCCTCCCGATCACGTGCTGGATTGCTTTCCTCTGCCACATCCTGATGTCACGAGGCTCTGCCTCACCCTGGCTCTGAGGAATGGAGTCAGTCATCTACAGACTGAGACCTCTGAGGCCATGAGTCCAAACAAACTTCTCCTCCTCTAAAACAGTTCCTTCCAGGTCTTTCAGTCGCAGCAGTGAAAACGCTGACTAAACCAAATGGTGATCACTGAGTACTCAGGGTGTTCAGGGCGCGTCAATGTCGGTAGGTTTAAAAGGTGACCGCGACCTCTGACTGTGCTGGCTGGGCACCTCTCACAACCAGTTTCTGAATCTGGTCACTCGACGGTTGAACGTGCTACGTATTTTACATCAGAACATACGCAAGTGTGTACGTCTGTGTCTAACGGAAATGTGTGCGTTTATCAAAAGCCCAGCCACTGAACTCACGAGAGCCCAAAATCTTTATCATGGGCATCTGACTTAGTCTCCACGTGGTGACTGCGTGACCATGAATGCGCCCATGCACTGCATCTGTGCCCAAAGTGGCCTCCTCAGCAGGCCCGGAAGGCGACTGGCCTACACTGGACGACACTGCTCAACTCATCACCTCCAGGTGACGCTCGGAGCAGCTTCAGGTCACCTTTGCTCTAACTTTACAATCTGGCTTGGGCATGGATGGAAGGTGAAGCTGCCCTGCAGTCAGCCCTGCAGTGCTGGTGACCACACGGCAGGAGGCTCACAGCAAGCCAGCCCCGGGGTCGGGCGGTGCCAGGTGAGGGAGGAAGGGGGCTGGGTCCTGGAGCCGGGTGAGGGGCTGCTTCTTGATGGAGGATAATTTTGTGGTATTTTTAAGTCTACGTAGACTTTCATGCATGCGTTTCTGTTCTTCAATTAAAAGCAAATTTAAGAATGGAAAAAACAAAAACATTTACTTTCTGCACAAATTTTAAATTTCCTAAGGAGCAGAAGGAAAATCGCAGTCTTTAATGAGTGGCAAAAGTAAGATTCTCAGATCAGTCCGTCACGTCCGGACCAAATGCTGATCTCCGCTCCCACAGAGGGCAAGAACAGAGAGGCCGTCCGCCCCGGGGAGGGCTGAGCAGGGTGGGCAGGTTCTTGACCACTTCGTCCTCAAAGCGGGAAGACAGGCAGAGGACAGGGTCCAGTTTGGCCCGTGACTGCCCTCAACTCCCTCAGGCAGCAGTGAAACACTCCCTCCTCTGCCTGCGACCTCTCCTGCTCCCGTCTCTACAGGGTTCTTACGTCATTGGTGTAAGGGACAGAGCCCAGCCCATAGCACACAGGCGGAGCTCAGCCAGGGCTGTGTCAGTCCAATGGCGTACCAAGTCCCATCTCCCAGCCCCCTCCGGGCAAGCACACATGAGCCACCTCCCCTGTCTGATCCTGCAGTCTGCCCCTGGGCCCTGGCTGGACCTGCCCTGGCATGGTATCTGGGGTCACTGTGGCCGCCAGAAGACAACTGCACACTGCTACCTGACCCCTGGGCAGCACCTGGCATTGCTGACCGCGTCCTCACTGGGCTTCCTGGACACCCCATTTCCTTGCCTCCCCCACCTGGAACCTCTTTCCATCCCCCTCTGCTGGCCCCTCTAATGGAAGGTGCCCCAGGTTCCCGTCTTCAACCCTCTCTTCTCTCCAGGCCCCTCTGGAGGAAGCTTCTCCTCGCCAACGTTTCATCTTCCTCAAGGCCGCTGGCTCCTGCTGTGGACCTGACCCACCCTCCTCGCGTCCTGCCTGCATTCTAGAACTGTGGGTCCACTGACCACACGCCTCCCTGTCAACGAGCAGGGGCAGTTCAAATGCACGCCACCCTCCTGGGACTGCCCACTTCTCTCAAACCTGCTTCTCCTGTCTTCTAACTCCATGGACCACACAACCCCCACCCCCAGGCTCGGAGACAGGCGGCCAACAGATTGCTGACTACACCCCCAGAATGCCCCTGAATTCTTCTTTGTGGCTACTGTCATGCCCAAGAAACCCTGTCCACCCAGAGCTGGTACACAGGCCTCTGGCACTGCAGGTGGTTCTCCTAAAACAACCCTCTCATGACATTGTTCTGCTTGGTTTTTCAATGGCTCTGGTAGGACAACC